ATCCCTACGGAATCCTGCCTGTTGGTCTCGAAGCTGAGCGTCTACGGAGCCCTTCATCCTGTTTAACAATACCCTGTTGAAGACTTTTCCCGGTATTGGGAGAAGAGTGATGCCCCCGTAGTTATCACACTTGCTGAGATCGCCTTTCTTCGGTATTTTGATCAGGAGTCCTTCTTTCCAGTCTTTCGGTACTTGTTCCTCATCCCAAATCTTATTGAAGAGAATGTGGAGTATCCTTGCAGTTGTCACTAAGTCTGCTTTTAGTGCCTCTGCTGGAATGTTGTCCGGTCCTGCTGCTTTGCCACTCTTGATTTGTCTGATGGCCATGCTGATTTCTTCAATTGTTGGTGAGCCAACATTGATTAGGAGGTCCGTGGGTGCTGCTTCGATGTTGGGTGGGTTCAGTGGAACTGGTCGATTCAAGAGTTCTTTGAAGTGTTCTACCCACCTGTTTTGTTGCTCTTCAATGTTGGTGATTACCTTGCCTTCCTTGCTTTTCACTGGTCGTTCTGGTTTGTGGCGATTTCCAGAGAGTTTCTTTGTCGTGTCATACAGTTGTCTCATGTTTCCTTCACTTGCAGCCTTTTCCGCCGTCGTTGCTAAATCTTCCACATATTTACGTTTGTCGGTTCTGATGCTCCTCTTCATCCGTTTGTTTACTTCTGTGTATTCAGCTTGTGCCTTGGCTTTTTCTGCTCTTGTTCGACTGGTATTGATTGCTGCCTTCTTGTTCCTTCTTTCTTTAATCTTATCCAGTGTATCAACAGTGATCCATTCCTTGTAATGGTGCTTCTTGTGGCCCAGGACCTCATGACATGTTGAAGTGATTGCCTCTTTTATCCCTTTCCAGTTGCTCTCCACAGTAGTTCCTTCTCCATTGAGTAGATCATGAAAGGCCTGGAACTTGTTGCTGAGGTCTATCTTGAATTTGTTGAGTTTGTCAGTATCCTGAAGAAAGGCCGTATTGAACTTTTGTGATATTGTCCGCCCCGTTGTCCAGTGTTTCTTCAGTTTCAACTTCATCTTGGCAACCAGCAAGTGATGATCTGATGCTATATCAGCTCCTCTCTTGGTTCTCACGTCCTCTATAGTCCTCCTGAACGTTTTGTTGATGCAAATATGGTCGTTTTATTTTTGCGTGGTGTGATCCGGTGAAGTCCATGTGGTTTTGTGTATGCGTTTATGCGGGAATATGGTGCCGCCTATGACCAGCTTATTGAAGGCACATAGATTTGCAAATCTCTCACCATTTCCGTTCCTTTCTCCCAGTCCGTGTCGTCCCATGATGTCTTCATATCCAGTGTTGTCCGTTCCAACCTTAGCATTGAAATCTTCCATCAGAATGGTCAGGTCCTTTGTTGGGCACTTCTCGACGATTGACTGCAGCCTATTGTAGAATTGATCTTTAGCATCTTCATTGTAATCGTTGGTAGGCGCATAGCATTGGATGATGTTCATTGAAATACCCTCTTTCTTTGTTTTGAACGAGGCTTTGATGATCCTTGGTCCATGAGATTCCCATCCTATAAGCGCATTTTGCGCTTGTTTGGACAGCATCAATGCAACTCCTTGTGTATGTGGTGCATTTTCTTCTTCATGGCCGGAGTATAACAGGAGCTCTCCTGTAGTTAGTCGTTGTTGTCCAACTTGTGTTTACACACACATGATCATATAAAAAACAGTCAGGATTAATAAGAGAGTACGTGACAAGGTCAAAATGTGGCTTGAGAAGAATGAATGGACTGGTCTGTCTAGAAGGCAGAATAATGTGTATGGGTTTGACATAGTGCCATCCACTACAATCTACTTATCCTAAAGTGAACATCAACTTTTGGATGCAGGTAAATCCACCTGATGAGTCCCAAATTGGATTTTACTACTAGCCACCATCCATCTCTATCCAATTATTCCGTTCTTCATGAAATGAGTGAGACAGTTATCCATTTCACGTAATGGATTAGGGTTGTGCAATATTTTGAATTCATTAGAACTAGACATTAACACTATCGGATACCAGCAGTAGTCTAAGGGCTAACCGTTCGCGAGCGAGACCAGAAGTCCAGAGCTCGGCCCATGGATATGGGTTCGCGGATGCACACCTCTGAGAAGTCCCGTACTGGGATCAGACAGCCGTCTAATTCTTCCAGGTTTCCTATGATGGTCTAGTTAACGTGAGTCTGTGATTTAAAGCTGTGAAATAGGATAATTGTCCCTCGTCTACAAATCATTATGTAGCTTTTTTCATTAACCGTTAGATCACTATGTAGCTTTTCTTCTATATTTGATATTTACAGACAATCTATTCAGTCTCCAAATATTCTTCAATTCGACAAATATCTTCCATTTGTAACTTATTTAGTTATTTAAATAATACATTTTTGATACTTGAAAACCTTACCTTTTACTTGATGCAATATTCTATTTTTCATGGACTTTAGTGAATAATATCATCGATGAAGGAAAATTCTCTTCTCTGAATTATTTTTCTCTTTTTCTCAATGACTCAAGGGATTTCTTTCGTTATTTGAAACTATTAATTAATGGACTGTTAGTTAGTGAAGAGCTAATTGTTTCTTCTAAATGCTTTTCTTTGAAAAAACGAAGAAGGTCCTTTTACATCTACACAAAATTACGTCTAGAGATTAGATTTTGTCTGTTGTGACGTTTTCTATACTGTAGTCCTCTCGTGAAATCTCGACACGTTTCAAGAAATACCTAAGCTACATAAAAGACCTAATAATCCTGTAGAACTGTGAAATCTACAAATCAAATTGGCAATAGCGGTACATGCCACTTTCAATAACCACCGAGTTGATATTAAAGATGATGAAATAATTCAGAAAGTTTTTCCCAGTTATAAAGAAAGGTGAGTAGCTGATGCGTTTCATAAGACGCTAAATCCCTGTGTTCATCTAGCTTAAACCGTTTATTCAAGTAAACAAATTTAATTCTATTGATTTATCACAACATTAACACACACACACACACATAAGTTTCGACTTTAAACTTTTATATTGTATATTCCACGATGATGTTACTTTCACACAGGATCATCTTAACCAAAATAACATGATATTGACATAATTAGACTCATTTTGATATGTGTTTGATTGAACTAAATATTTAAACTTGTGCTTATTTGATTCGGTTATCTGTTCGCTCTCTTAATAAACAACCTAAACTAAGTTGTGTAACATCAGGAATGTTAATTTTCTATACATCAGGATATTATAAATACTTATATTATTATCTTATCATTGATAATCAACTCAGTGTTCAATTTATGTGAAGTTATGAAGTCAGTCAAATCTTGGTAATATTACTTACAACTTGTTTAAATTTGCAAGGAAAATCAATTGTGTCAAAAAATTTTCCGAAATTTTCATCATTTCGATTCCGTTAATCAGAAAGGGGTTTGGTGGAAATTTTTTAGTAAGTTAATAGTTGAATTCATGAGTCAGTTAAAGCTAAGCCACTATGGAAAATCTGGAAGCACTGGATGACCGTTTCGTCCAAGTATGGGACTCCTAAGCAGTGCACCCGCTCGCGGGATTCGAACCCAGAACCTATAAGTCTCTCGTGCGGATGCTCGACCTCTAGACCACCGAGCCGGATGGCATTCAACTGTGATATTGTCTAACTTCCATTTTTTTATTCTTGCAAAAAGCAACACTAACTTTTCTAATTTTAGCAATTATTGTATTCATCTCATCATTTTCGTTGTTTTATATTAGGGTAAACTTTGATGATATAATTTATGCAAATTTCTAACATTTATTGACCTCCGTGTGATTTTCGATGTTCCAGGTTTAAAACTGACATTTACTTGCTCCATGCATATGTACACATACATGTACAAAAATATGAAACGGTTATATTCACTAAATATATAAATAACGTAATAATTAAACATAACATGAAAGTCAAATAGGTAAACAGATTTCTGTTATTCATCCCCAACCCCACTAGATCAAAATAAACGATTATAAACAAATGGAATGTTAGACCATACTTTTGAGGTAAGTCAGCTGGCAAATATATATATATATATATATATATATGGGTTGGGTTATAGTTAGTGCGCGTGAGAGAAAGAGAGGAAAGCTGCAAAATTAAATAAATCACCATTTATCTAGTGCATTTTGTATAAACAGTTAGAAAACAAATGAAAGTATTAGATAGGCAGTTAAGTTAGATTTTATGGAGGAAATAAGTTCATGATCCAGATTAATAGCATAAAGTATAGTTAACGGTAATGTAGAGATTATAGGCATCAATGCTTGAGCTCTACTGATGACCGCTTCTAGCTGGAACTCCTAGAATCAACTATCGTAATCAGGCTCGGGATTGTTATTTCCATTGTTTTGTCTGACGGTTGACAAAATAGTGCTTACTGTCGTTTGTTTTATGAATAATGTAATAGAAGGTGCCTTTACCACCTTGGCATTTATAGAAAGACTCCCAGGACAAACTCACCTATGTAAATGTTTTACCGTTGGTATTGTATTATATGGTAACTGAAAATCGAGGCGCGCTGGACACCCGTTCCGTCTTTATATGTGACGTATTAGCAATAAGTGTCCAGAACCTCACCAGCGATCGGACACATAAACTTCAGATCGGGCAACAAGTGCTTAATATTTAGACAACTGAGTTAGGAGCTCTTGGTTCATATATCTGACTTCAGTCAATTCTTGATTATGCGCAACCGTTTTCCAACTCCCTTATTCATAGTTTCTCACAAGCGCTTTCAGAATTACCTTTCGAAATTAATCATTGGAGAACAAATGATAGTGGCCAATAATCTTAACGTAATTTGGAGTTATTTGTTTACTCTTGTACATAATCGCGTTTTTGCTAATTTTAATATTAAGCAAAAAAAAATGAAATCAAATAATAATTATTTACAAGATTGCATGTATCATTTGAATGTGCGAGTGTGTGTGTGTCGGCAATCAAACCAAAATGAATAGGAGAGAATAGTTCGTCAATTTTAATTTTCAAGATGAATGATCCATTATCACTTTTTCTGTTATTCTATATTCAAATTCATCTTCAGTGTTAAATGTTTGATCCTAAAAAATATAAAATATAACACAATGGAGGAAAATAAAAACAAATTGAAATCAATATTCTTTGGAGTAATTTTTAAAACGAAAATATGATAAAAGACCATTATCCATTAGTTCACCCATAGATCTGGATATCGCCGTAGTGCATATGTCCACTTAAAATATTGTCAGTGCTTATCGTGTTCAGAAATACTTTAGATTGACCGAAATTGTCGAACAAATAATTTCAATGATAGGAAACAGAAAGAAAGATTAAATGGAATTTCGCTGCAATAAACAACAATGAATTAAGATTTTCTGATCGATGGTGAGTGAAATTTGTGTTGTTAAAGTGAATAACAAATCAGATATTGATGAATGAATGAAATGCGATGACACAACGTAACCGAGTAATCGCTGCTCATGAGACAGAATTATTGATGTGAACCCTCAAGTGGAAAGGTATCAGAAGACAAAATGACTGTCCAACAAAAAAAATACTTTTTTGTGCCAAGGTAACGTGCTTACAACAAACAATATATTAAACATACTTGTAATTACGACAACTATAGATCATTCATTCTCTAATAAAACTAGTGACTGATTATCAGGCTTAATTGTTTTACTGTCATATCACCTCTTCCTAAGAAACGATGTCAGATATTTCTGTGGCAACATAGGTGAGACGGTGATACTTTCAACTTGATCCACATATCGTTCAGTTTTGTTGGAAATCGTGTTTTTCCCTCATCAACAGATTGAAAGACAATTCTCCATCATTTACTAATTCACAAGAGATTGCATATTTGTGCCTTCACTTCCATTCATCTCTTCAGGCTGAACAATTTGTCACATGAATTGATTCGTGGTGATATGAACAGACAAATCTTTTTTGTTCTGTAGATGAGAATGTGCTTAATTCCTATGAGCTTGTCGGAGTAGGACTGATTAACTGAACAAATTGTAAATTCGACTGAATGTTCAGATTCCACAAAAAAACATTTCGGGAGTGAAACTGAGGAATTTTCTTGAAATTCTGACTACAGTGCCCTGGCTAAATTTAAATTAACAATGACTTCAAGGCTCTCCATCGATTTCGTTGTGTAGTTCCTTACAAACGCTGTGTCGTTGCTGAATGAACTAAGATTTTTTAAAATCTGTAACCCATTCTTTCTGAATTGCATTTGATTTTGTAATATTTACTTGTATACAGTGTTCAGATTTCGATTCATTTAGAAATATATTGATTAGTTCTACTCGTAGTTGTATTAATTGAATACATAATGATTTCTACTTATCATATGTAGTCAGAATTCTAAAAATCGACTTTTATCCTCGTTATCACTGTTATAGGGGTCGCTAGTATGACTTACAATGAAAAGACGTTTAGGGGTTGTTAAGTTCTTAAATATTATCCCGTCACGTTAAAGTCAGTGTTTACTAATCAGCTCACTTGTAAGATTAGGTAATCAGTGAATTATTAGCTTATTGATGTCTGCTACAGGATAGATTGGATGTGGCTGGGATCGGAATCTAAGATATACGTTTCTTCTAATTTGAGACTCATCAGAAGGATGTACCTGCATCCAAAAGTTGGTGTTCACTCCGCAACTCGAAACCAGTATCATTCGTTCCAAACACCATTACGTTATCCAATTAGGTACTGAGTTCAAATTGAATGAAATCTCATACCTGTTGCACAAGTGAATGGCTATTAATCCCGAACGTCATCGGGAAGATTCAAACAACCAATACAAAAATGAATTGATCTTTAGACCATTGAGTTGAAATTCGAACAAAAATTCATATTTTCAACTGAAGACATTAATTTTAATGCTGCCAGTCATGACTCTATAAGCAGAACGCTGAAAATTATTTCTAAATTTAGTCACTGATAAATAAATAAATTCGTCAAGTTTATAAATAATGACCATTGTTGCCTGACAATCGAAATCTGAAAGTAAATCATCAGCTACTAGTTTCACATTTACCTTTTTGTACGAGAGTACTGTTACGACCTGTCAAATATCACGTGACAAAAACGTCAATCAGAATATTGATTTATATGATCTCATCCTTTGGTTAACTAATGACACACCAACCAGCACCAGTAGCCCTGAGTCAACTCTAATCTATTATTGGTCCTCGGTATAACATCCTCTAGCCTTGTTCTGCCCGTCGAGCCCAGAACACAATATCGTCCCTCTCTATATAAGGAATATATTTCAGACATACGAAGTTTATGTGAAAGCAAATCAGACGGCATCACACCATAAAATGCGAAATAACAGTTGTAAATAAACACAACAGAAGTGGCTGTAAGTAGATAAGACTGAATAATAAACTGGCAATAGACTAAGAACAGTAAATTGCATGGTAGTGTAGTGAACGAGAACACAGGCGAAGGCAACCAAGTGCATTCTAATACAACATTACAGAATATCATGGTAAAATCTGGAAAATATACAGTAATACTTCATTTGAAAAATGTCAGTTAACTGCCTCCGACTTTGTTGTTCCTTCGTTTCCACACCAATCGCTCTCTGTTTTCATTCTCTTTTCTTCAATTTTCTCAACCTTCAGCCTCCAGACACTCCACTTTCGTTTGGTGATACATACTACTGATATCTGCCGACATCAGTATCACACACCACAGTAGTAGTTTATGGGTCAAATGAGAGCTTATGATAAAATGAATGTAAATATAAATAATCTAATTACTTAATAGTCATAAAATAATATAATATATAGCAAGTATGAGATCAAACTTTACAATGTGTTATATTGATTGATCGCTGGGTAGTGACCAATGTAATTTATATCAGATCCTTTTTATTGCATATCTAATTCTATCGATTAAGTTGTAATCTGGTCATTAGTCTAAGCTAGTTGATATAACATGGATTGCGTTGAAATGTAGGGTGGCTGGGGGTAGTCGACAAGAAACCTTAATTGACTCAGTTTTCGTGCTAGTTGGCACTCGTCGGTTACGTGCACCTACAATATTCAAATGATAGATGCTCCCCTTAAGATTCGGAACTGCGTCACTCAGTTTCATAGCCTGGGAGTACTAATGAGCTACCCGGGGTTGATTACCTCCAACAATAGAAAAACAATAAATTATTTGAAAACTTATTCAATTAAGTACAAAATAATAATTGTAGACTTCACAATTTCAATGGCTTTCCACCTCGGAAATTGTATCTTTCAGTTAGACAAATCAGTTTCACTTATAGTAAATTAGATTTAACTGCTCGAGTTCAATCAAGTGTCATGAATGAACATAGTTATTACTAATAACACTGAATGATTGATAATCTCGTAACATAATGGGTTGACTGAAAGCAGTCAGTCACAAGCAGCGTAGAACCCGGCACATATATGCCACACAGTGTCAACACAGAAAAAAATATTATTAAAACAAATCATGGCAGAGTAGTAGAAGTAGTAACATTATCAACAGTTATGGAATAGATTAGACATAATATGCTTGATATTGTTTTATTTGAATCTTCCCATTGATGTTTTTGGACTGAAATTGATCAGTCTCTTATTGGCATATGTACATACTGTGCGTATGCCTCGATATTGCCTTAATTTACAAGCATTGTAAGCAAAGATGGATAGTGGCTAGCAGTGGAATCCAGGACGCGCGTTTCGTCCTGTTTGGGACTCGTCAGCTGGATGTCTCAAACTTCGACCCATTGCACAAGCAAGTGGCTATCAGGACTCAGTAGCTAAGTGGATAACGCGATGGCGTTTGAAGCGAACGGTACTGAGTTCAAGTCCCAGAGTGAACATCAACTCTGAGATGCAGGTACATCCAGCTGACGAGTCCCAAACAGGACGAAACGCGCGTCCTGGATTCCACTGCTAGCCACTATCCATCTTAGACATAATATGATTTGAGAAGCGTGAGTGAATTCACGGAATAAAAAGTACGAAACGTTTTTGAAATTTGGGATCCAAGGCAAGACATAGGTTCCGCGTTCGAGCCCCGAATGTCGGGTCATGGATGGGCGATTCGGAGGAGTCCCGTATTAGGAAGAAACGGCCGTTCAGTGCTTGTAGGTTTTCAATAGTCGTCCAACTTAGATCAATTCGTGATTTCAATGAAATTAAAAAATCTCTACAACGCAATAGAATGTATGTACAAACTAGTAGTCAACAGGGCTCAGCCCGTCAATCAATGCCGTCATGACCTGAATTCTATGACGCGGAGCACTGAACGCTCATTTTTAATGTGTATACCTGAAGATTTGAATGATCAAGGGATAGATTTGCAATATCTGGCAAGGTGAGTGTTATTTAATAACTGCTGACAAGTTATATTTGTTCAGCATTCACGATATTTTCTAACACTGTTCATGTATTATTATTATTATTATTAACGGCTTTATTCAATATTATATTTTGGTACAATATAGAATTCTCAGAACAGGTTATTTCAACAAGTTACTTACGCAACAACAACAAAAAACAGTAACAAATACAAAAAAAATGAAAACGGTTTTTTAAAAAAAACAAACCGAAAAACTGTACAACTTTTAAAATTAAGGACATGTTAAGAATGCAAGTTATTGACTAGGTTAACTCTAACAACCTGTTCGTCAGAGAGTATATTTACTAGGTAAGGTGTTATATGACTTTGATACTTTTGCTTGCGTGCATGAATTTTGATGTAATTACGTCTCGTTCTACCAGAAGATATACAAGGAGAAAGATAAGAGTGAAGGGGATGGCTAGTATCTGATAAAATAACACCTGTCAGGAGTTTGCATGATTTTAGATGTCTATCCACAATCATATTAATTATGACCTCGAAAGATTCACCACACATCTTGCTAACTGCCTTCAGCACTCTCCACAATACAGCAAAGTCTTTTCTCAAAAGCCCGGGAAAGAATAATGGAGAACGGTAAAGAATAATGGGTAATATGGAAGAATTGACAAATTTTAATGGTAAATGACGAGTAATCCCAAGAGCATGCAATCTCTTTATGTAGTAAGTCAAACGGAAAACCTTCTTTGACAACAATAAAACGTGGGAAGACCAAAACAGATCAGAGGAAAAGGTAACACCAAGATAATTGGCCTTCGACACTGTGTTTATCAAAGAGTCTCCAATAGCACAAGCATTATGGGATCTCGAAATGGTGTTTAGATTCCGTTCATGTCTCATGCTAAAGTTAACAGCTTGACATTTAGACGGATTAAGTATAAGACCATTACCAACAGACCAACAATCAATACGAGACAAAAACTCATTCATTTCTATGGGATGTAAAGAGGAAGAGATAGGCATACATACAGTGAGATCATTCGCATATTTCAAAAAAGTGTTTTCTGTGGAAGATGGCAGATCATGCAGAAAAAAAAAGTAAAGAAGAGGTGAAAAAACAGCTCCTTGTGGTACACCTTCATGAGATAGTAGAGACTCTGAACACTTTCTTCCAAATACAGTGTACTGTTCCCTTCCAGAGAGGTAGGAACATAGCCAGTTGGTTATCCAGCTGTCAGTGCTGATGCTGATTAACTTGTTAATTAAACGTTGTCTTGGTATAGAATCAAAAGCTGAAGTATATTCCAGAAAAGCACATCGAGCATACTTCTTACCCTTTTCTAAGTTGAACACTATGTTGTGATGCAGAACAGCAACAGCATCTAAAGTGCTTCTTTTGCGTCTGTAAGCAGACTGATATGGATCAATATGCTCTTTTATCGCAGGCTGAAGTGGAAGTATTAATAATTTTTCCATTGTTTTGAGGAAGGGTGAAGTTATTGCAATAGGTCTAAATTTTACATTCTTATCACCAGATGCTTTCTTGGGTACAGGGATTATCTTCATCTTTCTCCACATTTTCGGTATGAGATTAGATGAGAAAGATCTGTTAAAGATAGTCGTGAATGGACAACATAGGACGTCAGCACATTAAAAAAAGAGGTTTGGGATACCATCAGGTCCCAAACATCGAGATGAATTAAGCGTCTGGAGACATCTTCGTACATCAGTTTCAGTGGAAGTAGGAACACAGCTATTATTTAAACCCGTGGATAGAGGGAGCATCACATCAGATGACTGACGTACAAAAGACTTATTTAAGTCACAAACATTCAGCTGGTTATCGTTTCTAAACTGTCTGTCACCTGTAAGTTCTTTAAAGAGTTTCCACATACTTGGAGAGTTTTTGCAAGACAAGAGTTTTTGAGTAAGCATAGAGTTGAGACGTCTAATCTCTAGGTTTATCAGACCATTTAGCTTACGAACTTCATTAGAGTTCTTCTCCTTGTACATTCTTCCTTTCATCCTCCGTAGTCGTTTTAGTTGTTTAGATGTAAGTCGATCAAAACTTACAAAAATGGTTTCAGTGGGACAACAAATATGAGAACAGAATTTAAGGTAACAAGTGATAACATCAGTAGTGTTTTCCAGTGAGTCATCTGTAAATAATTCCCAGTTTGTCGTATGAAACATGCTTTTCAGATTTCGGATATTTTCTTCTGAGTAATTCCTATATTTGACTTTATTGGTCTGATGCAAGAGTGTACTCTTCCCATGCTTTCCATATACTTTAGGTAGAACACGAATTACGCAGTGATCCGAACTAGACAATGGGGCGCGTTTACGAGTCGCATATATATCCACATCGTTAATGAAAACGAAGTCTAAATGAGCATCCAAACGAGTAGGAAAATCTACTACGTTTTGGTGACCTGGTGACGTAAGGAAGCTACAGTCACATGAATTGAAATCACCACATACAACTGAAAGTGAAACACTGAAGTCAGTAACAGCGAACTCAGTGAATTCATCAGCGAAAACAGATAGTGCAGATGATGTGCAATCTGGAGTCACATAGATATTGGTAACATAAACATATTTGTATTTATTCAGATTTTTTGGACGACATCTTAGAGTTAGACAGTCGATAAAGTCATCTGAAAACTTAAAACACATAAACGAAGATCGACACCAGTTTACGTTTACAAACGTAGCTACACCGCCACCACACCTCTTTTTATTGTTTGATCGATCCTGACGATAAATTTTGAAGTCACGTAGTGATACTAGGCAGTCATCCTGTAAATCATTTAACCAAGATTCTTGAATTGTGATGACACCACAATTACGATACATATTTTGACTTAGTAGGAATTGCAGATAGTCCATTTTGTTGATTAGTGATCGGCAGTTAGAATTTAGCAGCTCGGGAATGGACATACGATTAATATTAATTCTCCTTAACGTATATTTCCAACTACCACGATGTCTTTTATAGTACTTTTTTGTAACCTGTGCAGCGAAAGGTCGTAGGCTTTTCATAAAAGTGCCTGAATAGGTTATGCGATTAATGAACATAATGATAAGTTAAAACAAACGAAAAAATAGATAACTTGTTGAAATAATCAGATGGTAGAAACAGGTAGCCCAGATATTCAAGCAGACTGTCATTTATTATCAGTCTATGATGTGTGACATTTCTTTGAGCAACAACAATAGTAGTATCGTTAAATACCTAAATAAATTTATTGTCAAAATTTCCCTGATTAACACATTATAACCAAACAGTGTTTATAGTAACTTTAATAGATAAATCAATATATATTCAGTAAAATTCGAGCGATGGAAACGAGTATGTATGCAAGAGAAAAGTCGGTGTTTATAGTTTACTTAGAACAGTTAATTCTATTGTCCATTTAAAAGGATAAATCAATAAATAGAATTATTTTGTATTAATTTCATGTTTTAAAGATACAAATATGTTTTTCGGTTAGATGAAAAATTTGTAGAAAAAAAAGAGAGGGAATAAGAATCAGAAATATTTTTAATTGAAAAGTAAATTACAGTTTAATAAATAGAAACAAAAAGAAGTTTGTTCTCATTCATCAATTGAATAGATTATGATAATTAAAAAAAAGGTGAATAAATTTAAACAAAGTTATAATCAAACGACTTATTTTTATGTTAATTGATCACCTGAGGTTATCCTTAATGTTTCTAGTGTTTCCTGAGTATTTTCAATCATTTCCTCATTTATTCAGTAAATGACTGATAGATATTAGACGATAATTTTCATCAAAGATTTCATTTCAAGCATGTTGAGTTATCTGAAACTGTCTGGCATGAACATGTCGTCTAATGTAGAACTGACCAGTATATCGGATGAAATCTTTAATGAAAATTACACTCTATTATTTAGTATTCACTTATTAAGGTAACGGAAAATAATAGATTTTGCTGTTGAACACAATACACTAGTTGAACGTTGGAAACATTCTGGATAAACTCAGTCTAATTGATCCTATAGGATTTATTATAAAATCAAATTTTAGTGTTAGAGTTAACGTTTAAGAAAGGTCATTCACATTGAAATTAAATTGGTTAACTCTTTCACAAGCTCTTCTTTCTATTGTAAAATCATGCATCAATAAACGACAGTGTTGGAATAATAGTTTGGATTTATAGGGAAGAATTATATAAAAATTATGACTGAAGTAACTTTATTTTATTATTGTACATACTTAACGGGACCATCTTATTTGAGCACCACATATTGACTAAATGTTCACATCGGTAAGAAATTTAGTATTCTATTTAAACGTCTATATTTAGCTTTAATGTCAAGCCACTTCGTCTTTTATTTCAGAGTTATATTGAAAATATAATCATGAATGTGCTTTTAAAAAGTTGGATAATCTACTCAAGAAAATGCACATTAAAGAATCAGGGCCTTTCTCTGCATTTTGGATGCATTTGTTTAATATTCTCGGTATAATATTATAATATAATCTTACCTCTTTTCTCCTAGTAACCACATCTTGGTGTTCATCGATATTATCATCAGGTATTTCATAAATAAAAACATGAGCATGAAGAAAAGTGAATAATGTGACAGAGAGGAGCCAAAGACCAGAGCTTAAACATCCAACCCCGATCGATAATATATCTCTATAGTGAATACAAAAAATGTTGAATAAAAATCATAACATTACATTTGGTTAGTTAATGAAGGTTTTGCACAATACATTATTACAATTGAATAATCTAAAACTTTATTCTCTTTACAATGTGTTCTAAATATTATCACCTGTCACTGAAGGGTTCCAAACAAAGGAGATAGCTATATGAGTGATGGTAACTGTTGTGTTCCTTGACCACTCACTACACTTTTACCTAACATACTATGTGAGAGAATACTGAGAAATAAACAGGAGTTTGTAACTGGCAAACCGGATAATGTATAGGAATCATAGGTATAAGTGCATCTATCCTTCGGATCTAAAAAAGAATATGCAGGCTTTATGAAATAGCGTGGGTTGTTTATCATCTTACTTACCGTTTGGATTTCAAATGGCATATAGACACAGTCTCATGAAATGTCTGGACACATTCGGCCAATCAGCAATGAGTTCAATCACTGAATCAGGTAGGTTATGCTCAATTATGATGATTATGATTAACGGGGAAAGTCCAGCTCATAACGGAATCTTACCAGCTATCAAAAAAATATATGTATTTAAAACTCTACTTTCGCTTATCAAATAAATTGTAGTGTATTTAAAAAAGCATGTTCGATTGGAGTACTATTCGGTAAACATTTTACTATCATCTCACAGTAATACTCAGATATACAATGATAATATCTCTCATAGTTATATTCGATGTCAGCAAACATGTGGTCATGATATTATTGAGACAATTTAACCAGGAATTTTAACACTAATTTTCATTTACTAGAATTTAAAAAATGTCTGCTGTTAAATTACGATCTACAGTAAAGACATGCATTACTAATGAAATAGTGAGATTATATTCAGTAGCTAATGAGCCTTTGTGGCAGATAGCCTGCATCTTATTAAAAGTGAGGTAAAACTTACTAATACTGAACTGTTAACACATTTAGGGTTGATAATAGATGAGAAGAATAAGGAATACTGACCATAATTTGGGAATTTTTAGATATAACTCAAAGGCCCTTACTAACAATCTAAATATTTCAAAAATGTGTATCTATAACAACAATGTCAAAGTGTTCATTCAATAAGTGCGTACCTCAAAGGAGACTGACCAAATGCAATCGATTATATTAACGGCAGGGAATTACAATTCTTCTTTAATATATGAGATCATGAGTCAATTGAAGTTAGACCACTATGGAAAACCTGGAAGCACTGAACGGCCTTTTTGTCCTATTGCGGGACTCCTCAGCAGTGTTCATCCACGATCCCGCCTTGCGAGATTCGAACCCAGGACCTATCAGCCTCGCGCGTGAGTGCTTAACCTCTAGACCACTGAGCCAGCATCCAACGGTGTTAATGTCTAATTTCAACTAATTCCATGATGGTCTAGCTCCAATTGACTTATGATCTCAAATATTAAAATTACTATAATATCCACAAAACCCCTTCTGATGCAATTCTTTTTGCTAAGATATATTCCCAGTAAAGGTGAATTGGAATCATCAACGAAATAGAAACCAATCGTCATCTACACATAACCTAGCTAAATGGCTAATAAAACTGCTGGATCCTATCTGAAGACGTTCATGTATTCTCAAGTTCAATTATTCTCTGAAGGATTCTTTTGTACTAGTCGATCATTTAGGTGATATTGATATCAAGAGAAATACAATATGTTCAATTGACGTGAACTCCTTGTTCACAAATGTACTTTAGAAAAAGACTATTGATATACTATGTAACTACATGTCTTTGGACAACCTTAAATTACCAGTTCCTTTAAAAATTCTTAAAGATTTACTACTTTTATGTACTAACAAAGTCCAGTTCACATTTGAAGGTGAGTACTTTTGTCAGACAGATGGGGTTACTATGGGTAGTCCATTAGGATCATTATTAGCAGATGTTTTCATGACACATGTTGCAAATCTAGCTGAAGACCTCATCGAAAACATGTCTCTTTATATGAGATATGTGAATGATATCTTAGTTATCTATGAAAGATAAGAAGATATGAATTGTTTATTGAATAAACTTAACACTTCAGGACCACACCAGAGGAGAAGAACGACTAACTTCCTTTCTTATATGTACTTCTAAGTAGACGAGAAGACAATTCAGTCAAAAGATCCATTTTTAGAAAACCAACTTGGACAGGCCAATACCTTAGTTACTATAGTTACTGCCCAGTGCAGTACATACGGGCTTTGTTAAGGTGTCTATTTAGCAGACTTGATCGTATTTGTAAAAATGACGCCATTGATGATGATGTTAGGTTGCCAAGTCAAGCATTAATAGAAAATGGGTATGCTCTTAAATGCATAAATAGATGGAAAGCCCATAGTACAGTGATACCTACTATAGCCTTGGCACAAAAATCTTGTCTACATCACCTCACCGTTTAGAGGTGATTAAAATATATTTTATTGAAACAAAGGCTTAAATCTAAATAAGAACTTTCGTCTAAATTTGAACGAATAGTTTCACAATATGATGTTAATGTGAGTTATTAAAGAGGAATAATATATATTTGTAAAATCTCAGCGAAAGAATTTGAAGTAATTCCAACATTTCGCCTGGCAATCTGGTCCAAGCTTTTTCAAGGAAAATATAATCAAACAACAAAATTATATTTTCTTTGAAAAAGCTTGGACCAGATTGCCAGGCGAAATGTTGGAATTACTTCAAATTCTTTCGCTGAGATTTTACAAATATATATTATTCCTCTTTATAGGCTTAAATCATTTATTATTATTATTATTATTATTATTATTATTATTATTATTATTATTATTAGCTTTATTCAATATTATATTTTTGGTACAATATAGAATTCTCAGCGTAAAGTATTTCAACAAGTTTCCGTTTCTTTCTTCTTGGTCGGTCCTGGCGATAAATATTGAGTGATCACCAGTTAGATGTTGGCAGTTCAGTAAATGAACGTCTGAATAATGTGCATTCTTTTCGCTGTATATTGCCAGCAACCACATTGTCTCTTATTGAGTTTTTTGTAACTCTGACAACGAAAGGTTGTACACTTTTCAGAAACGCAGCAGAATAGGTTATGCGATTAATAAACATAATGATATATTAAAACAAACAAAAATAGATAACTTGTTGAAATATCTGGATGGCAGGAACAGGTAGCCCAGATGCTCAAGCAGGCCGCCCTTGTTGTGCTATGCAGCAAAGGTCATTAACAAAGTAAAAACAAGCCATGCTTCACCAAAAACCTAAAAGATATGAAGACGATTACGTCACACCTCACTGTGTTTATCAATTCATATGTGTATGTGTGTGGTCACACATACAAAGAGAAGAGTAACCATGATCTCCATATTAGGATATCTGAACAAATAAAATCAAATGACCCGATGGGAATAGAAGATCATAAACATTCATCATCCTCTGTTGCCAAACCCAGTTGAAACAGATCATATGACTGATCTTAACACGGCTTTTGTGGCGTTGTACAAAAGTGTACAAGGGCACATACTAAGATTTATTGAAACCTTAGCTATACGAAAATTCAAACTTCCTTCATATATTCAAAAACAGTTTGTTCTCACCTTCAACCTACCCTGGTAATATTAGCTTATTATCCAGAGTGATGAGGTTTCAAGTTGTTTTTCATACTGTTTTCTTTATTATCTTTGTTTCCTCTTATCCTCTATTTCTAGTCTAGTTGACAAATGTTCTTAACAAGTATATTGTGTGTGATCAGATTGTTCGAAATGTATTGGGCTAATATATCATCACATAGTTCTGATAATCTTCGTCTTCTTATTATTACGCTATCGAAATTTATCAAACGGACTAATTGTTTCAAACTACATTTTGTGTAAAAAAATTTGTTCAACCTACTGATCTTTTACCTTATTCTAAAATCTCATTAACACGTCTCAGTTTCGTGTTTAATTATCATGGAAGTACATTAAAATTCACGTCATCAATTAAACACTGGCAGTCGATTGCAATTTTAAATTCTGTATATTACTTGCCTTAAAAAAATTAAATTTGGATAATTATTTGCCATTTCCTATTCACATCAACTGTACATATTTTCCCTCGTGTTTTCCTGGTAAAAAGCTTCTTGACTTTATCCAAACTTAGCTGTTGTTACAGATGAATATGTGTGTGTCTTTGATCACTGGGAAATCGTTCATTACACATCGACAAAAGATTGAACAACTTATTTAAGTTAGTTCCATGTTCATAACAAATGTAAATTTGTATTATTTCTTGTATATATTGCATTTTCTGTATTACTTTTGTATCGACTTGCCTCATAAAGCATGTAACTGGGTTGTATTACCATCATTGTTATTTAAAACTGGCGGTAAAAACTGAAGTGAAGTAAAGAAATTAGCGAATGCCTCATATTTAAAGATTGGTTGGTATTGGGATACAATATAGTACACATTACAATGTGTAGTAGCATGACAGGGAGAGAGGTTTGGAAGATAGTATGAGTATGTATATATGTATAAGACCATGTATGTATGTGAGAGGGAGTATAAAAGAGGTAAATTCAGAGAAACATGTAAGATTTATTCATTTTTTTAACGAATATATAGAATCATCGGCATTTCTAGCTTAGTTTGAACTACTTATGTGTTTATACAACGGATCCCATAATTTTTTGTTTAGTCACAGACACAAATTATTTTTCCCATTGAAGATGTATATGTAAAGAAATGACAAAAATAGCCAAAAAAGTAACTGAATACCACGGAAGAATTTTAAAATTTATGACCATTTGTTTTTTTTAAGGTCTAGGCTTAGTTAATGGTAAGAGAGAGGATAGATAGGAAATTACTATATTCCTAGACGATTCAATGGCGAGAGTAAAATACTAGGTTTACTAATAATCCATATACGCAATGTCTTGGAAATGGTATGCACACAGAAACTCACATGGAATCAAACTCGGGAGATTTCTCAGGAACACAGAAAGAGAGCACAGTACTTTTAGATTATTGAGTTAAA